TATGCATAAAATGTGTACAGGTTAGAGAACAATAAAGAAATCTCTGTAAACTACAACCCAAGAGATCATCACGGGCTGCCTTCCTGTAGCTATTTGTGATTCTCTACAAACCCTTGGACCCCTTCTAGAAGAAATCATTATCCTAACTTTAGTGCTGATTAACTTTGCCTATTTTTCCATTTTACCACCTTTATAAGGAATCCTAGACTATAATCTAAAACCAATATAGCTTATTGCTTATAAACAGCATTGTTAGCATTGCTATGTGGTTTTTAACTTTCCATACCAGAATAGCATTGTGTATGTTATTGTATGAGTTGCTTCTTTTAAAAAAAGTTATTTATTTATGAGAGGGAGAGAGGGAGAGAGAGAGAAAGAGAGAGAGAAAGAGAGAGAGAGAGATCTTCCTCTGTTGGTTCACTCCCCAAATGGTCAGGGCTGTGCCAGGCTGAAGACAGGAGCCAGGAGCTTCTTCTGGGTATCTCACAAGGTTACCGAGGGCCCAGACACTTGAGCCATCTTCTGCTGCTTTTCCTAGGCTATTAGCAGGGAGCTGGATCAGAAGTGGAGCAGCCAGGATACGATCTGACACCCATATGGAATGCTGGTACACCAGGGGGTGGCTTTACCTGCTATGCCACACTACCAGCCCCAACTTGCTTCTCTCATTCAGCATCATGTTTAGGAATTTCATCCATGTTGCTTCATTTACTTGTGGGTCTTTCATTTATGAATATTGTTGTACAATAATACACTACAATGCCTGCATCCACAGTATGGTTGAAGGACATGTGAGTGTCAGTGGAGCAAGGTTGCAAGTACAGTGCCATATCAGCATTCTTACATGTAGATACCCCTATGGACACATGCGAGACCATGTCTAGTGTGCTTGCCCTAGAAGTGTACTTATCCTGTGTACTTTTCTATATGAAACAAAATCGTTATTCAAAATTGTCCCAATTTACATTCTCTGTTTCCATTCACACCAATAGGAGGAGAGATTCCACATCTGCATATCCTCACCAATACAAATATGGTCAAAAATATGTGGTGTGATTATATATCATGGGCACCTTTTTTCATCTTTAAAAAATTTTTTTATTAATATAGGGAGAACAGATTTCATGTGTTTCATAGGTACAATTCTAAGAAGATAACCATACTTCCCTCGCTCCCTCCCTCAATCTTACTCCTTCCTTCCTTTTCTTTAATTTTTGTAAAAACATAATTTCAATCCATTATATGGTTATAGACTTAATACATCACTAACCATGATAGTCAGTGAGTACAAACTAGGAAGAGTACAGTTCAGTACAGATACAGAGAGAGACACATACACAAAAGATGAGAACTCCCATCTACTAGTTCAGTCTCCAAATTCTGGCAAATGCTAGCATCAGCTAGATCAAGCTGAAGCTGGAAGCCTGGAATCCCAGGTCTCCCAAGTGGATGGCAGGACCCCAGTCACCTGAGCTGTCACCACAGCCTCCCAGGTCTATATCAGCTGGAAGCTAGAATCAGGAAATGGAGAGGTATCAAACTCAGGTAGTTCTTGGAGATGTGATTTTTTTTTAAAGATTTATTTATTTATTTGAAAGAGTTACAAGGAGAGAAGGAAAGACACAGAGAGAGAGAGAGAGAGAGAGAGAGAGAGAGGTCTTCCAACCGCTGGTTCACTCCCCAGATGGCCACAATGGCTGGAGCTGAGCCTATCTGATGCCAGGAGCCAGGAGCATCTTCTGGGTCTTCCATGCGGGTGCAGGGGCCCAAGGACTTGGACCATCTTCCACTGCTTTCCCAGGCCATAGCAGAGAGCTGAATCAGAAGAAGAGCAGCAGGGACTAGAACCAGTACTCTTATGAGATGCTAGCATTGCAGGTGGTGGCTTTACCTGCTACGCCACAGCACCGGCCCCAATGGTGGCATCTTAACCAGTGTCTTAACTACTAGATCAAACATTCACCCCTCTACAATTCTTAGGAATAACTTGGATGGTATAGTTTCTGAGATAGTAAATTCTAAATATACTAGACTTAAAGTTCCTGCCTTTTTTTTTTTTTTTTTTTAAGGCTCTGTGGACAGAATCTATAAGACCCCAGTGCTTAGCAAAGCTCCCTGGAAACCTACCACCAACCAGAGAGTGAAGAGTGCCATGTCCTCAGCAGAGCCAGAGACATGATGACAACCGGGAGTCCAAGTGTTGTCCGGGGTTATGTCTGGAAGGGACGTTGTTCACAGCTACCCTGTACTGAACACTCCATGTGTTGTTTCCACGGTGAGCTCTCTGGGTGGAAGGAATGGAAACTGAATCCCAGCTGTGCCTGTCAAACTTCCTACAGGAGGGAACGGTACCCATTTCACACGAACATGTTCAAGTCTGGGAGACATCCCTTCTTTTACATATTTATTCATTGTATTTGAAGGACAGAGAGAGACAGAGAAAAGGAGTGACAATAGCTAGGGCTGGGCCAGGCAGAAACTGGGAGCTGGGACTTCCATCCTGGTCTCTCAAGTGCACTGGCAGGGATCTAGATCAGAAGCTGAGCAGCCAGGACCAGCACTGTGATATGGGATGCACACTTTGCAAGCTGGGACTTAACTCCTGGTGCCACAAAGCCCACTCCCAGAAGATACGTATTTATTAAAAAAAAAAGCAGGAAAAAGTCAACTTTGGTTTATCACAACAACCTTTAAATTCATAGTGTAACTTGCAGCGTACAAATGCACGTGCTATGATAACTCAAAACAGAGTTATAAGATTAATTTGGAGCAAATGTTGAAGTTCATGGGTAATTTTTCATAGTTTTCCGTGAACTTCTTCTGGGCCCTGCATCTTTCCTTTTCCAGCGTGCAAAGACCTGCGTGTGCGAGGCAGTTGTGGCTGCCGGTGCAGTCTTTGTTCCTGGGCTCCCAAGGACTGTGCTTCCGCAGAAATACTCCAAGGTGTCCTCCTGGTCTTTCCACCGCCTCCCAGAGCACAAGCTCCTCCTGCCTACTCCTCCATCCCCACCTCTCCCCTTGCCCTGGGGCCTGCCGGGAGTTACATTGTCTGCAATTTCTTCTCTACCTCTGCAATCCCCTGGTGCTTAAGGTAGGATACCCTGTGGTCATAGGTGTTTTCTTGCCTACTTGGGTAGAGGCTGTTCTTGCTTGGTTCCTTGTGTCTTTCCGGTCTTGTGGGGGAGGATGGGACCTCCCAGGGCCTCTGAGTGGAGCTGGCTTTTTGGCCCTCTCTCCTGCCCTGGTATCCTCGGTGGAGGGAACATCTGCTCCCTAGATTCTCCTAGTCAACTCAGTTTCCTTTCTGGGGCCGATGGTCAGGATCTGAGTTCAGAACCATGGCTCCTGAGCCCAGCCATGGGTATGTCTATTCTCTCGGGATCGCAATGCTTGGGCCTCTGCATCCTTTGTTTAGAAATGAATAGATTTGGGGCCAGCACTGTGGTGCGGGCATCCCATATAGGTACCAGTTCAAGTCCTGGCTGCTCCTCCTCTGATCCAGCTCTCTGCTTATGATCTGGGAAAGGAGCCCAGGATGGCTCAAGTCCTTGGGCCCCTGCACCTGTGTGGGAGACCTGGAAGAGGCTCCCAGCTCCTGGCTTCGGATCAGCTCAGCTCCGGCTGTTGCAGCCATTTGGAAGATGGAAGACCTCTCTCTCTGTCTCTTCCTTTCTCTGTAACTCTACCTCATGAAATAGAAAACATTGAACCAGAAAGTTAATTTTCATACTGCTAGGTAATGTTTCGATGGCGATGATTTTAACAATTCTGGAAGTCTTCCAGTCTTGTATTTTTCCAGCGTGGAACCTAAAATGTCTCACCTATTGAAGGATATGTCAAAAAGTTTATGGAAAAATGGATTTAAATGTATGCACTAATTTTCTTGCCAAAAATGTAGGTGCAAAATAATTTTTGATAATATGTGGAAAATGCACATCATGAACAAACTATGCATATATTTCAAATTTTTAAAAACATTTAAATTGGCTGGCGCTGCGGCTCACTAGGCTAATCCTCTGCCTGCGCCGCTGGCACCCTGGGTTCTAGTCCCAGTCGGGGCACTGGATTCTGTCCCAGTTGCTCCTCTTCCAGTCCAGCTCTCTGCTGTGGCCCGGGAAGGCAGTGGAGGATGGCCCAAGTGCTTGGGCCCTGCACCTGCATGGGAGACCAGGCGGAAGCACCTGGCTCCAGGCTTCGGATCAGCGCAGCGCGCCAGCCGTAGCGGCCATTTGGGGGGTGAACCAATGGAAAGAAGTCCTTTCTCTCTGTCTCTCTGTCTCTCTCTCACTGTCTAACTCTGCCTGTCCAAAAACAAAAACAAAAACAAAAACAAAACATTTAAATTGATTTATTTGAGTGACTGAGAGAAATAGACACACAGAAAGAGCTCCAATCTGCTGGTTCATTCCCTCAAATGCGCACAACGACTGGGTCTGAGCTAGGGATAGAAGCCAGGAGCCTGTAACTCAATCAGTGTATTCCATGTGGGTGTCATGAACCCATTTACTTGGGCCATCACTTGCTGCCTGCCAGGGTGTGTATTAACACTGGAATTAGACACCAGAGCTGGGGATCAAACCCAAGGACTTCGCTATGGGACAGGGACATCTTATCTGCTAGATCAAACACTCACTCCTCAAATTTTTACCCAAATAAACTCATGCTTTCTATTCCATTTTCCCCTGGACTTTTTCAAGTACCGTAGTACATTCTCTTGTAATAGTCCAATATTTCTTGATCTATAGGTTGGATCAAAATGTTACACTTGGTGCTAACATACATTGCAAGGATGTTGCAGTTTTAAGTTCCTCAAAGTTGACATGGTTACAAAACCAAGAAGAACTATTATTGAGAAAGATTTTACACTTTTCATTCCTGAAGTAATTTTTTTCCCCAATTTTTCTATAGAATAGGTGCCACCTAGTGGCCAGAACAAGAAAGTCATTAAATAAGGCCCCAAAGCCAGGTGCTTAACCAACCAGGGCCTGAAGGGTCAAGAGCCTGCAGCCGGCGACCCCGCGGCCCCAGAGGGGGGACGCCCGGGCAGCCATGGGGCAGGCGCCGCCAGAGGACTGGAGAGGGCGTCCTCCCTGTGGTCGGGGCGGGGACCAGCGCGTCCGCTCGGCCTCTGCGGGCCAGCCGCGGGCCATCTTCTCGCCAGGTCACTGCCCGGGCCTTCCCGAAGGAAGGTGGGCCCTGCCCGGGCTGGCTGTGTTCGAGCCCGGGCCCACGGGGATGCGCGGCCCGGAACGCCGACGCCTGGCCCCACGCGGGCCACCGAGCTCCACGTGCCGCGGCGCGGTCTGAGGCAGGGCGGTTGGGCCGGGCGGACTCCAGGGACCACACGCACCGAGAAGCCGCGGCGGTTCCGAGAACCCTGAGGTGCGGGTGCCTGCGAAGAGCCCGTCACGCCCGAGTCGCGAGCCCTTAACGCGCGGGCCCGCAGAAGGCGGGCGCTCCGAGGCGGGTCGGCGCGACAGCACCATGAAGTACCCGGGCGTGGAGCTGATTTTCGACCACGTGGGGCACTTCGGCAGGTAGGCCTCCGGGGGGGCAGCCAGGCGGGTGTGGGCGCCGCTGGACAGCGCCGCTTTGCGTTGCAGTGCAGTTCCTGCGCCGCGCTCGGGATCCGACGACACCTCCACTCCCTCTCCTTCCCCAGCGATGCCCCGACCCGCACCCGCCCGGCCGGCCCCCCGCGGCGGGACCTTCCCGAAGCCAGCAGAGCCCAGAGGCACAGGCGAGCGGGCCCCTCGGCGCGCAGTCTGCAGGAGCCGGAGCCTGGACCTCCATGGCCAGGGCTTTGGGTAGAGCATCGCCTGCCCCTTCTGAACCGCCCCCCCGACCGTTGGTGCCATTGGTTGCTCTTTATGAAAACCTGGTGACTTCTGGGTGCTTTTGCAGTTCTTGACTTGACGCCTGACGTGGGTGAGCAAGGGAGGTGTTCGGATCCCTGTTCCAGTGGTTAGGAAACCGAGGCTGGTGGGTTCAGGACGCAGAGCTACTGCGGTGTGGAACCCAAAGGGAACCCAAGTGGATTCCCTGTGCACACCTGCTTTCAGTTGCTAACCTGATTAGGGGAAAACACGTATTGGCAGCACAGATTCCTGTCTTGTCCTCTGCCGGGCCTTGTGGGTAGGTGATAGGTTGAGGTTGGAGGGGAAGGCGGCTCTCGCGTGGAGGTGATTCTCCGTGTGGGGACAGGAAGTGTGGAGCAGAGCGCCGAGGGGGAGGCCACAGGCGCTGGTGCTGGGTGCGCTCAGTCGTCGCTGTGGCCCTGCGAGGTCGGCTGTGTGTCCCGTTTCGCAGATGAGAAGTCAGGGCTTCTCTGTCGAGGGCACAGATCCAGTCGCAGCCAGGCATTGTCAGAGCCGGTGGCTGTCCATTGGCTTGTGGGTTCTCCCATCCTGCTCTGCTGAGCACAGGGAACAAACAAGGCTGGGCCAGGCCCTGTCTGCACTGTCTCACTATGTGCTTTGGAAACAGAAGAGCTCAGGGGTTCAAGATGAGCCATGAGGCTGGATGTCTGAGCTCCTGTCTTGGCTCTGCCCCTGTTAGCTAAATGGTCATGAGCATTTTATTTACTGTAAACGAGGGGTGATGATAGTACACAGGAGTTTACAGTATGGTAGTAGAAACGTTTATTATGAGAACGCCACACACAGTCACCTACCTCACAGCTCTGGGGAGATGGTACTAATACCACACCTTGGAGACTAGCTTTGGTAGTTGTACTATTAATGTAATTTTATTAGTGGGATTGGTTTCGGGACCTCCTTGGACACTGGGATCTGTGAGTGCTCAAGTTGATCTAAAATGGCGAGTTTGCCTGTAAGCTGCCCATGCACTTTAATCGGGACTGGATTAATCATTATGCCTGAGACAGTGTCAGTGCCGTGCTGCTAGGTGTCCTGCGGTGGTGCTTAGGGAATAATGACAAGACAAAAAGTCTGCACATACTCAGTCCAGACACAATTTGGGAGGGGGTATATTTTCGATCTTTGAATGCACAGATATAGAACTCATAAGCATGGATGTCTGTGTGTGTGTGTGTGTGTGTGTGAGAGAGAGAGAGAGAGAGAGAGAGAGAGAGAGAGAGAGATTGCTCACATTGCTATAGAAGCCACGTGTCCCATGATCAATGGTTTGCAAGGTTGAGAGCCAGGAGTGCCAGTGGTGTGGTCCAGTCCAAAGACCAGGGGCTGAGAACAGGCGGGCTCATGGTACAAACCTGACGTAGGAGTGCTGGTGCCTGGGAAGATGATGTCTTAGCTTCAGCAGGGCGAGCAGGTTTGCCCTTCCTCAGTCTTTTTGTTCTGTTGTGGCTCTCAGGGATGGGCTGATGCCCACTCCCACGGGAGAGGATGATCTGCCCTACTCAGTCTGCTGATTGAAGCGCTGAGCTTCTGGCCTCCCTTAACCTGCTCACATGGACACATAAATTTAGCCATCATTGTACGGCTTCATGTATTTATGTTATACTTTTGGGGACTGTGTGGGTAATACTATGCTATTTACATTGTTGCTCAAATTAGTTTGGCTTTGGCATTTGGGGGCTGTTGGAGGCTGGCTCCTGTGTCCTTTGCCACACTTTCATCCTTTTGTTTTTCGGACACTTCCTTACTTTCTGCTACTATTAGATTCGGCAGTCTTCTCTTACATTCTCCCTGTCCTCTTAAAATGAGCCATTTTCTTCTGGCTCCTTTTGGTGGAGATTGGTACTTAGAAACCAAGTTATGGGCAAGGGTTGTGCTTTTTACTGTTGGGATGTCACTGCCTCTCAGTCCTGACAGTAGATGCAGCTATGTGGTTCATGCATGTACCGGAAGTTACAAACATATTTATGATTATTTCTGTGTTTGCCCATCTGTTTATATATGCTAGGGCAAACACATGGGGACCCTTGGTATTTGCTTATGTTCTTTTTTTTAGCCTATAATACAGGTAGAATAACCAGCTTTTCTTCTCTTTGCAGGTTCCAGGTGTTCATCTATTTTATATGTGCCTTCCAGAACATGTCTTGTGGTATCCATTACATGGGTTCCATGATTTTGGTAGTTGCTCCCGAGCATGCCTGCAAGCCCCCAGGCAACGTGAGTAAGTTTGTTGTCCACAATACCTCTGTCGCGAAGCTGGAGGATGTGTGGGCCCTGATGTCCCCGGACCATAAAGAGCACATCACAGCAGAGCTGCAGAACGGTGAGGTCTGGGACCTCTCCCGGTGCGGTAGAGTGCGCAGGGACAGCCCATTACATGCAGCAAACAGCGGCAGTGAGCCTCACTTTCCTTGCTCGGACGGCTACGTATATGACCAAAGGCAATGGAAAAGCACCGTGGTGACCAAATGGAATCTGATCTGTGACCAGAAATTGTTTGCAAAGCTGATCCAGCCCATTTTTATGTTTGGAGTCCTGCTGGGGGCGATCATCTTTGGCTACTTTTCTGACAAGTAAGATGAAATATTTGGGATTCTTCCATTAGTGTGTAGGGGTCATTTTCCTATCCAGTTTACTTAGCAGGCAGGAAGTGACATCCAGAACTCAGTCATTTCTGTGCCTCCCATAAATACCTACCTATTTGTTGACCCAATACTTAGGGCGGGCCCTGAAAATAGTCTGCCTGGGTTCAAATCCTGGTTCTGCCACTTATTAGCTGTGGAAATCCCCTAACTTGTCTGTGTTTCAGGCTCTTTAGTTAGAAGCTGGTAATGGAAGTAGTATCATCACTGTAAGTGTCGCTTAGGAAGAAATTGTCCTGTGCCTGTAACTATTCAGTAGATACTGCTTTTGACTCTGAATTCTTTTTTCCCCTTAAATAGACTGCCTGTTTAAGAGGGGTGACCTGGTCCTAAGCAGTCATTACGAAATTGTGGATTTAATCTGCCACCTGTCTTGTGCTTCTAAAACAACACCACACACTGGGCGATGTACAAACACTAGAAATTCCTTTCTCCAAGTTCTGGAGGCTGAGCAGTCCAAGATCAAGGTTGCAGAAGGAGTGGAGGCTGCTGAGGGCTGCTCTCTGTTCCAAGGTGGTGTCTTGTTTTTGTGTCCCTGGGAGGGGGGTGCCTGCAGCGTCCTCCTGTGGGAGTTGGGGTGGAAGGCGGCAGAGCAGTCTCTGCAACCCTGAGCCCTTTCACAAGGGTGCTAATTCCACCCTTGACTTCATGGCCCCCGAAGACCTCACCTCTCAAGACTTGCACTGGGGATTCCATTTCAGCAGTAAGTTGGTGAGAACACCATCAGCGAAACAGACCAGGGGCAGGTGTTGCGGTGCAGTGGAGTAAGCCACCATGTGGGACTCCTGCATCCCATATCGGAGTGTGTGGGATTGAATCCCAACACCACTTCAGAGAAATGTAAATCAAAACCGCAATGAGGTTTTACCTTATCTCTGTTAGAATCGCTATCATCCAAAAGTCAAAAAACAATAAATGCTGGCAATGATGTGGGGACACTCACACACCCTTCCACCATACTGTAGATGTATGAGTCGTCGTGTATTCTTGCAGTAGAATGTGTGCCCGTGAAAATAATGAGCTGCAGGACAACATGGGTGAATTTCCTAAACATGATGTTGAGTGAAAGCAGCAGGTGGGGCCTGGCATTGTGGCAGAGCAGGTAAAGTCATTGCCTGTGACGACAGCATCCCATATGGTTGGCAATTCCTGTCCCGCCTGCTCCACTTCCAATACAGTTCCCTGCTAATGGCCCAGGATAGTAGTGGAAAATGGCCCAAGTGTTTGGGCCCCTGCTACCCATGTGGAAGATCTGGAAGAAGCTCTTGGCTCCTGGCTTCGGCCTGGCTGTTGCCGTCACTGGGGGAGTGAACCAGTAGATGGAAGGTAGTGGTCTCTCTCTCTTTTTTGCTTCCTTTCTCTGTAACTCTGCCTTTCAAATAAATAAATAAATAAATCTTTTAAAAGAGTAGTGAATCATAGAGTAACACAATTCTGTTCTGGTGTTGAAAGTTTAAAATCATATAGCAGAGCTAACTTAATGTTTATAAGCAATAAGGTATATTACTTATCTTTTGTAGTCTAGGATTGCTTATAAAAGTGGTAAAATGGGGGAAAAAAAGCAAGTAATTGATTATCGCTAAAGTTAGGATAATGATTCCTTCTAGAATGGGGTCAAGGGTTTGTAATGACAAAGGGAGCTGCAAATACCAGCAAGGAGGTGGCGCGCGGTGATCTCTTGGGCTGTGATTTACAGAGGTTTATTTATTGTTCTCTAACCTGTACACATTTTATGCATAATTGTGTGTATGCTATAGTATTTTATTTTATAAATAAAATCTGGCCCCATTCTTAAGCTAAGATGGAGGATATAGATTTTTGAACAGGTAATTTCAATGAAATGTGGCCAATGCTTTTAAAATAATGATCACTCCCATTTATTCACAATTCACTATGCACCAGGCACTATGTGCCATAGTTTGTGTGTCCTCTCATTTAACTACTTAATGAAGTCTGTGAGGTAGGCATTACTGGGCCTTTTTGTACTGATGAAGAAAAGGAAGCATAGGAAGCTCACTTGGGGAGGAAGGGGTGGAGTGGGAGTTGAGCCCAGCCGGTGTAGTCTCTCTTTAATTTCTGCCATGAGACACCGAGGGATGGCCAGGAAACATTTTGCATTTGATCTGAGTTTCATCTTATTTTTGACAAATTTTATTTATTTGAGAGAGAGAGAGTGCATGTGTTCCTATCTGCTGGGTCACTCCCTAAATGCCCACAACAGCTGGGTCTGGGCCAAGGCTCAAGCCGGGGACCCAATCCAGGTCTCCCACATGGGTGACAGCATTCCAGTAACTTGAGTCACTGCCGCTGTGTCCCAGGGTTTGCATTAGCAGGAAGGTGGGATCAGGAGCTGGAGGTGGGCGTTGACCCCAGGGACACTGATAGAGGACACGGATGTCTACCCCTAGGCCCCACGCCTGTGCGCTAACCTGGCTGCAAAGGCTCATTAGAAGCTGTCAGCTGGAGAAGCCTTCACAAGGGGAGGGAGCAGCTCTTTGTGCTGTGAGAGAACTTGGCACGAGCAGGGAACTGTGGGAAGTCAGTGCAGCAGGAGAGTAGGATGGAAGGAGGAACTGGCTGGAGGCTGCTTTCTTCCTAGGGAGTGTGGGAGCCGTGTGGGTGTGAGCTTAGGAAGATGAGTGTGAAGAATGTAAGAAATGGTGAAGGACTGAATAAGAGGTTGAAAAGCGGGGTGCGGCTGGAGACATTTGGGAGGCATTTCCAAACTAATGGAACCGGGTGATGGACATGCGGAGGGAGGGCGTCTGCAGGGGGACTGTGTTAACACTTGGGAGCCTGCATGCCAGTTGCTGTTGTGATCCAATTCAGGAAATACTAGGGAGAGAGCATCTTTAGAACAGAGAAGCGTATTTGAATATTTTCAGTTTGTACTGTCCTTGGATTCAGGACAAAAAAGAGAAAATATATTCCAAATTAATCCCAGCAACACAGCAGCAATGAAAAATGGCAGCTCTGTAAGACATTGAAGTGGGGAGGAACAGCTAAGGCCAGAAGGTGAGTGGGGCGTTAGTGACCCAGCCTGGGGAACTGCAGCAGGAACTGGCTCCTGATGAGCCTTTAAAATTCAGCTTCCTGCACAGGCATCTGCCTGCTGGTTGTGATATCACGTTCCACTTTGAAGTATGTGGGTTCAGTAGCCACGGTCAGCTTCCGATTCCCTCTTCCTGGTGATGCAGACCCTGGGGGATGGTGCTGATCACTCAGTTATTGGACTCTTGCCTGCACTGAGTCCCCCGCTTGGCTCTGGGAGCCAGATGCCATGAGCAGGGTGGCGTGTGCCGTGGAGGATGCTGGGAGAGGCCAGCATCAAGGCAGCCATGAGCAGAACCAGGAGAAGGTGACGTTCTGCAAGCGTAGGGCAGCTTGAGAGCCCCTTGGTGACTGCAGAGCGATCTTAGAAGAGTTGCTTGCACCCGGCTGAGGCAGTGAGCCGGGAGGGAGGAAGTGGATGTTCCCTTTGATTGGTCTGTCATGGGAGGAAACGCAGGGCAGCCAGAGGAGCCACGGGGTCAAGAGAAGGTTCTTTTCTCTGGTGGGGGAAGACTTCAACTGAAAGGAAGGAATCAGAGCGGAGGGAAAGAAAAAGCGTTGGGTAGATCCAGACCACAGAGAACACACAGAGAGGCACGATCCAAGGTGAAGGTCACAAAAGGGCGTTTGCAGAGGAAGAGGCTGGGGTCTGCAGAGAGGTGGAGGGGAAGAGAAGGCTGAACGCAGCAGAGCAGGGAGCTGTCTCTGTCGGTCTCTGTTCTTGGCACGAGAAGGCGCTCACTGGCCAAGAGTGAAGCCGCCATGGCAGGGAGACGATCGTGAGTGACAGGGAGAAATCACTTTAGATGGCCCAGATGAGGTGGGGAACAGCCACCGGGACAGGCAACAATCCCTACCCGCGTATGTGGGTGTGAAGAAGATGCGTTTCCTCCGCTTGCACGTGCTCTGCTCCACAAGTACCTCTGTTGTTGGGCTCCAGTCTGTTCTTTTTGCCTTCAAACTAATCAGAGATGAACAGCATGGAGAAAAATATTTGTAAGTCACACATCTGGTGAGAGTCTACCATCCAGAATATGTAAACAACTCCTAAAACTCAATGTTAAGAAAACCAAATAGACTAATATAAAAGTGGACAAAGGACAGGGACAGATATTTCACTAAAGAATAAATAGAAATGCGTAATACACACGTGAAATTATGCCCAGTATCCTTAGTTATCAGAAAAACGGAAGTCAGATCCACAGTGAGAGACCTCTTCACAGCCCAAGAGGATGGTCATGTCAACAAGGCAGACGCCGAGGTGGGTGCTGTGGTGCAGCAGGTTAAGCAGCCACTAGGGACACCTGTATCCCATATCAGAGTGCTTAGGACTGAGTCCTGCTCCTGCTTCCAGTCCAGCTTCCTGCCAATGCTCCTGGGAGGCAGGAGGAAATGGCTCAAGTACTTGAGTTCTTGCCACCCATGTGAGAGGCCTAGATAGAGTTTCTAGCTCCTGCCCTCAGCCTGGTTTGGCCCTGGCTGTTGAAGACAACTGGGGAGTGAACCAGCATATGGAAGACATCAGTTCTCTGTGTCTCTCCTCTCTCTCTCTCTCTCTCTTTCTCTCTCTCCCTCTGCCTTTCAGATGAATGAATAAATCTGTAAGAAGTCAGCCACACATTGTTTGATTCCATTTGAATACACTGTGCAGAACAGGCACATCTGTAGAGACAAAGTAGGTTGATGGTTAACGGGGACTGGAGGGAGCAGAGAACAGGGAGTGATGGCCCCAGGTTCAGCATTCCTTTTCCGGTGATGACTGTGTCCTGCAATTAGAGTGAAGATGGTTGCCCGATTTTCTGATACTCGAAAAGCCACCAAATTGAATACCTCAAAAGCTGGGATCTTGTATCCAATAATATGATCGATCCAATATCATTGAATAATATGACAGTTTTCTAAATCTGTCAGGATTATTGTTTGTATTTAGACAAAGAAATGCCTCTCTCAGTGATGAAAATGTAGAGCAAGTATGCACCTGATATAGGAGCAGAAGGTAGCTCCCCGGGGTTTAGAAGGACGTAGCAGAGCTGTGGGAACCTTGGTGGACAGAGAGCCAGCCTGGCGGGGAAGACGACCCAGCGGGTCAGAGCGCCCATGCCCTGGAGGGAAAGGATGCCGTCTCCCTGCTGTGCCCTGCATCCCAGCCAACCGATGAGGGTGACCCGGGTGGTCACGTCTGTGTACCAGCAGCTTAGCTCAGAGCCTCTCCAGGAAAGGCTGGTCTCTGAAAGAAGTTGTGTCCACTCATGATTTGCCCAAAAGCAGTGAATGAGTAACAGCAGTCGTATGCACTGGCTATTAAAAATGTCGGCAACATTTCCCCTCTCAGGAACAAGAACTACCGTGGCAACAGTTTCAAGCAAACCTTCTCCTGTGCTGTGTGATTCTTGTTTTTCAGGAAGGGAAGACAAGTGGTCTTGTGGTTCACAAGCACCGGCATCTTTCTGTTTGGAATCCTGTCCACATTTACCTTTGACTACTACATCTTCATGATTGCACGCTTTTTTCTGGCCATGGTGAGTTCTGCCTTTCCCTCTGCGATTGTGCTGCGGTATTTCCAAAGCTTGTTAGAATCTAGTGAGGGCGATCGAGGACAAGTCTTTGCTCACGGCGCAGCAGAAGTCAGTTTGTGGAGATTTAACGCCTTATGTTTAGAGAAGAACTCACTAACCTGGAAACACGTTGCTGACCAGGCAAAAACTGTGTGTTGGCCTCAAGCCTGGAATGTGACACACATCCCAGGAAGGACTCCAGGGCATTTTTTTTTTTTTTTAAATTTCAGAGCAATTACATTGGTGTAGTCGGGGGCTGTATCCCTGAACCAAGCAGACAGCTGAGGTGTATGGCTACAGTCTTTTTTTTTTTTTTTTTTTTTTTTTTTTTTTTTTTTTTTTTTTACAGGCAGAGTTAGAGAGAGAGACAGAGAGAAAGGTCTTCCTTCCATTGGTTCACCCCCCAAATGGCCACTACAGCTGGCGTTGCACTGATCCGAAGCCAGGAGCCAGGTGCCTCTTTCTGGTCTCCCATGTGGGTGCAGGGCCCAAGCACTTGGGCCATCCTCCACTGCCTTCCCGGGCCACAGCAGAGAGCTGGACTGGAAGAGGAGCAACCGGGACAGAATCCATCGCCCCAAGTGGGACTAGAACCCGGGGTGCCGGTGCTGCAGGTGGAGGATTAGACTAGTGAGCCACGGCGCCAGTTGGTTAAAGTCTTTTGTGAGGTGTGTGTGAGACCTCTGCCTGAGAGGAGCAGGGGAGTCGGCAGTAAGGGTGTGGAGTTTGAACAACACCTTAGTCATCTGTTGGCTTGTTAGCCGACCTGGAGCAAACACGTTATCCACTTGGAGCCTCCATGTCTAATCCGTTAACCACAGAAAAAAGTGCCTGTTTCCCTGGTTGTTGTCAGGACTCTGCCAGATGAAAGGTGAACACCTGCAGGGTTGCCCTGGCTTAGGGTGTCTGTGCCTCACCACGGCAGCTGTGACAGCAGGGATTCCTGGCAAGCCAGGACTCGTGTGTCCACGCTCTGTGAGGCTGTGAGGCATGCAGACAGGTCTCCCGACTCCAGAGCAGCAGCAGCAGTGAGGCTGGGTGGGACTTCACTGGGCACACCTGGCAGAGTGCAGTTTCCATCTGGGGCGGAGCAGGGCAGGCCCAGAGCGCCTTGCAGCAGGACTGATGATCCGAGAGTCCCGAGGGAGCCAAGGGTGCTCATCTCAGCACAAAGCCCTGCATCCCCACCCCCCAGGGGACAAGGGGAGGGGTCCATGTGGAGGCTTCACCAATGGCTGGAACCCATCCACATAGCCAAGGGCTGGGAGGATGCATAAGAAACCTTAGAATGGGAGCTACTGCACCTTGAAAAGAGACTGATAACATATATTTAAGAATGCAAAGGGTTTTTAAGCTAGAAGGTGGCAACCAGAAGTTCTGTTTGCCCTGAGAACACACCTCTGGAACCTGAGTGCTGTTTGATGAGACAGACCTTCTCGTGGGAGTGGTGGCTCCACAGAGGCACAGGTGCTGAGGGAGTGGGACAGTCCTCTTGGAAAACTGAATGGATAATTCTGAAAACACTTGTTTCAGTCTTGCAAAATACCATGCGTTGGTTCATGAAACCAAGAAAATGAGGCTGCACCTGCAAATACACCCGTGAACTCTGGCCGTCATTTTGAGGGTCTCTTTGCTTTGGTTCTCATGGGCTTTGTGTTTGTGGTGCAGGTCTGAGCACGGCAGGTCATGCAGATTCATTCACTGGACACAGCTGTGGAGCTGCCGACAGAGTAAACTAGGCCCAGCCAAGTAAACCAGACCCAGCAGTCTCCATTTCCCTGCAGTGCAGTGGAAGGCAGGGTGCTGATCAGCCATTCTCAAAACTAAATACAATGGTGATGATGAGAGGGGGTCCCGCTGCAGTCTGGAGGGTAGGGTCAGGGACGTGTTAGTCTGAGGGATGTGTGAGAACAGGACATTCCAGCAGTGGTAGCAGCAGGTGAGAATGCCCTGAGAGGAGAATTGAAGGCTGGAGAATAGACAGGGGTGAGGTTCTTGAGGAGGCTGGGGTGGGGTGGGGGGGATGGTGTGAGGCAGGCAGTAGCAGGACCTTGCAGGATGGTAAAGATTTGGCTCTGGGCCAGCCATGTGGCATAGTAGGTAAAGCTGCTGCCTGCAGTGCTGGTATCCCATATGGGTGCTGGTTCAAGTCCTGGCTGCTCCACTTCCGATCCAGCTCTCTGCTATGGCCTGGGAAAGCAGTAGAAGATGGCCCAAGTCCTTGGGCCCCTGCACCCAAGTGGGAGACCTGGAGGAAGCTTCTGGCTCCTGGCTTCAGATCAGCGCTGTTCCAGCTCTGGCTGTTGTGGCCAACTGGGGACTGAACCAACAGATGGAAGACCTCTCTGACTCTTCTCTCTCTGTGAAACTCTGACTTTCAAATAAATAAATAAATCTTAAAAAAAAAAAAAAAGATTTGGCTCTTTCTCCTACAGGCTATGCAAGGCCTCGAAGGGGTTCGGGAGGAGGGTTGGGTGTGCAGTACTCATTCTGGCTGCTGTGTGGAGTTGGAGTCGGAAGCAGATGTGAGCAATAGAGCGTTATCCATGGAGGTGATGCATGTAAGTGGATTGCAGGAGCCTCTGGAATTGCTCAGGCAGTTGTGTACAGATTGTCTGAATCCGATGACAGCGGCAGCCAGCAGGAAGTGGGTTGCATTCGGGAGAAATAAGGAGAGTTGAACAACTTGACAGGGACTAATGTTACAGCTCCGTTTCACCAGGCAATTTGTAGGAGTGGAAGGTTTTCACACTCTCGCTTGTGTGCTCTAATAGCCGCTAATGCTTGCCAAGGGCCTTCTTGGGTGGAGGGCTCCTGTCGGTCGGGGTTCAATGTCATTCCTAGGCTGCCATGTTTCTTTTAAACCATATTTCCAGTAGATGGGCCCTGAATAATTTTAGAGGTAAGTGACAGGCATATTTGGGGAAAGAGCTATGCAGGGATTGTTCTCTCGTGTGAACAGGATCTAGCTTGTGCTTGAGTAGGCTCATGCACAAGGATCAAGCTTGTGCGTGTGGCCTGTCCGTTTTCCTTGCTGTGTTGAGATTGGTGTGTAAGGGGAGGGGAGAGCTGCAATGAGTATGCTGGCTTGTGATAGGGCAATGATGAAGCTGGATTGTGAGAATGATGATAGACCTCGACTAATTCTCCAATGAAGTGTCTGTTTTGTAGGCTGAGGTAGTTAAGTTTGCTAGAGCTCATGCTGCTTTAGGGGTAACGCTGCTGTGGGTCACGGGCCGGTGCTGCAGTTTGGCTGTGAATTGGCTCGTTGTTTTGAGTTTGCGAGGCAGAATAAATCTGATGACGTTAGCCCATGGGTGATTATTGGAGTCATAGCTCCTCTAAATTGCCCTGGTGTTTGAATGAAAAAATCTTCAATTCCCAGAGCTCAGTGGCTGTTGTCACAAAGATATGAATCTGACCACCAGTCCAGCAGCCCATGTCCAGCACCTCCCCGCCTGCTGCTGGAGTCAGTCCTCGGCCGTGGAGGGAGTGTCCCTCTGTCCAGCATCATGGTGATTCTCCCATGCAAGGTGGAATTGGAGATCTTACACAGGAGGGGGACTACAACATCTCCTTAAAGTAGTGAGTCCTGCCTGCCTGAAGCCTCCCCAGAGCCCTCCACCTCGTGGGCTCTGGCAGAGGTGGACCAGTGAACTTTTCAACGAAATTAACGTCAGTGGGGCTGGTGCCTGGCAGATAAAGCCACAGCCTGGGACTCCGGCATCCCATGTGGGACCGGATGGTGTCCTGGCTGCTCCACCTCTGATCCAGCTCCCTGCTAATGGCCTGAGAAAGCAGCAGAACATGACCCAAGAGCTTGGGCCCCTGCCCCCACGTAGAAGACTTGGATGAAACTCCTGGCTCCTGGCTTCAGCCTGGCCCTGTCCTGGCCATTGTGACCATCTGGGGAAGGATCCAGCAGATGGAAGATCTTTCTCTCTATCTCTCCTCTCTATAACTCTGCCATTCAAATAAATAAATAAATCTTTTTAACATTAACAGCGTGAGGACAGTGATGTGATGAAGCTTCAAAGGAGAGCGATGAGTGTCAGAGGATGAAGAAAGGCCCCGGGGAGATGAGTGGTGCTCCAGATTAACTTTATAAAATTAACTTTATGATTTATCTTATGAAAGGCAAATATGAAATATTTTTGTAGGACACATTCCAATACTTCACATCCCCTCCCGCAAAGTTCATCATTTGATTCATTCTTTGTTCCAAGAATCACATTATTATAAACCAAATTTTTTTAAAGATAAGCAAATTTTCAAAACAAAGTTCTTTCCTAGCTTTTTTTTTTTTTTTTTCCCCTCTGGTAAAACACATGTAACATAAAACGTGCCATTGCCGTCTGTAGGGGCAGTCAATGATACTGAGTGCATTGGTGTTGTATAACCCTGGACCCCCAAGCATCTCCAGAACTCCTTTTATCTTGCAAAGCTGAACGTGTGTCCACTAACAGTAACTCCCCTCTCACCCCTCTCACCCCTCCCCGCGTGCCTCCAGCCCTGGCAGCCCCCTTCTGCTTCGTAACTCTGAGTCCGACTACCCTACGAACCTAGTTTAAGTTGAATCCTACAGTATTTGTCTTTTTGTGACTGATTTCACTGAGCCTGCTGTTCGCAAGGCTCCTGCAAAATGCGCTTCCTTCTCAAGGCTGAGCGAGACCCCGTTGTTTGCAGTTACCACCTTTTCCTCCTGTGTTCATCCGCCGGCTCACTCTGGGTTCCTGATGTGTTGTGGCTGTTGGGAAGAACACGGCGGTGCACGCTCCTCTGGGAGACCTCGCTGTCAGTTCTCTGGGGTGTACCCAGAAGTGGAATCACTGCGTCGTGTGGTAACCCTCTTTGTCAATTTTTTGAGGGCTTGTCATCTCGTTTTCCACAGAGGTTGCCCCGTTGTGCACCCCGGCAGCAGTGCACAGGGTTCCAGTCTCTCTCCGTCCTTACCAGCAGTCCTC